CAACTGGGGCTACAGGGAGACCCTGTCTCAAAAAGACTAAAAAAAAAAAAAGTAATAATAATAATAATGGAATTAAGAATGTAAGACTGGGGCAGGAGAATCTCAAGTTCAAGGCCAGGCTGATATATATAGCAAGACCCTGTCTCAAATAGATATTAGATATATCACTGATTGCAGTATGCAATGGTATCTCGAAGGAAATTCTGAAAGAACTTACTAGCACATGACTAAAATACATCACAGGAGAACAGCAGGCAAGCTCAAAAAAGGGTTCACATAGTTGAGAGGCAATGGAAGTTCTTTTATAGCAATCAAGAGGACAGTTACTTGGACTTATCTCAAGGACATTTATTCCTTATTGGCACAGAGGGATCAACACCTTACTACCTTGGTTAATAAATCTGGCAGTATTAAGATGTTTTTCATGGGATGGAGAGATGGCAGTAAAGAGCACAAGCTGTTCTTGCAGATGAGCCCAGTTCAATTCCCAGCACCCACATGGTGGCCAACAACCATCTCTAACTCCAGTTCCAGGGGAATCCAATCCCCTCTTCTGACCTCTGTGAGCATTGCATGAAAGAGACACACTTACATGCAGGTAATACACACATACACATAAAATAAAAACACTAAAATATTTTTAAAGATGTATGGGGCTTGGGGCTAGAGAGATGGCTCAGTGGTTAAGATCACTAACTTCTCTTGCAGAGGACCCGGGTTCGATTCCCAGCACCCACATGGCGGCTATGAACCATCCTTAACTTCAGTTCCAGGGGAATCCAAAGCCCTCTTCAGACCTCCATGGCATTGCACAATACGGGTGCACTCACATACATGCAAGCAATACACTCATACACATAAAAATATTTAAAAAAAAAAAAAAAAAAAAGATGTATGGGGCTGCTGAAGAGAAGGCTCAGTGCTTAAGAGTTTGAGTCAACAACCATCCATAACTCTAGTTCCAGGGGAATCCAATCCCCTCTTCTGACCTCCATTGGCATTTTGATTTGAGTGCACTTACACACATGCAGGCAATATACTCATACACATAAAAAATAAAATTTTTAAATGATATTGGTCATTTGTTCAGGTGCCACTGATTAGAAGTTGGGTTCCATGGGCTGGAGACATGGCTCAGTGGTTAAGAGCACTGACTGCTCTTTCAGAAGACCCGGGTTCAACTCCCAGCACCCACATGGTGCTACGAACCGTTCTTAACTCCAGTTCCAGGGGAATCTGAAGCCCTCTTCTGACCTCCGTGGCACTGCACAACACGGGTGCACTCACATACATGCAGACAATACACTCATACACATAAAATAATAAAAATAAAATATTTTTTAAAAAAAGAAGTTGGGCTCCAGATGTCTGTGTAAGATATTACGGATACTGGGATCAGGCTCCAAGTAGTCAGGGTCTATCTGATAAAGGGTCAGAATTTTCTCTTATTTTGGGGCTTTGCCTCTAAATCAAATGTTCTATAATTTCTTTCTATTGACTCTTTTTTACAGATTTATTTATTTTTATGTGCACCAGCTGCACACAGAAGACTGTGGAAGATAGAAGAGGGCATCAGATCTCTTGGAACTGGAGTTACAGATGGTTATTACCACTATGTGGGTGCTGGGAACCAAACCTGGGTCCTCTACAAGAGCAGTTAGTACTCTTAACCACTGAGCCATCTCTCCAGCCCCCTCTATTGACTCTTTTCAAGGGTCTTGAATATTATAATGGTAAATCTTGTCAACCTGACTGGGTTTGTAATCACCTAGGAGACACATCTCTGGGTTTAATCTTTGAGGGCATTTCCAGAGAGGTTTAAATGAGGAAGGAAGGGGCTGGTTCAGTGGTTAAGAATCCATAAGGCCAATTCCAGGGGATCTGATGCCCTCTTCTGGCCTCCTGGGGCACTGCATGTACAGGTGTACTCAGGCAGGCAAAAGTCATACACCTAAAAATAAATGGGAGGGAGGGGAGGGGAGGAAGGGAAGGGGAGAGAGGGAGGGAGGGAAAGATTGATTTAAAGAAGAACATTAAGAAGGAAGACCTACCATGAATGTGGGCAGTACCATTCCATGGGCCAGTACCAGACTAAATAAAAGGGTAATAAAGGAGGAAGCCGGATGTGCTGGCATTCCTATCTCTGCTTTCTGACTGTGGTGCAACATGACCAGTTTCAGATCCCAGTACCCAATGGCAGCTAACAACCATCCACAACTCCAGTTTCAGGGGATCTGAGCCCTCTTCTGACCTTCATGGGTGCACTTACATACATGCAAGCAATGCATGCACATAAAATAAAAACAATAAATAAATTTTTAAAATAATAAAATTTACCTGCTTAATATTTTTTCTACTGGATTTTTAAAAAAAAATTTCTCATCCCTTTGGGAATTCTCTTTGGTGTATTAATTTTAGTCTATCATGGGTTACCACAGTTTTAACACACTCAATTGTTGTTTTAAATGTTGCTGCTGATACCCATTCACTCCCATATAGTACTGCCACTGGTTGTTTTTTGTCTGTCTGTCGTGGTCTTGATGAGGAGGATTTTTTTTTTATTTTGTTTATCATTTTTATGTGTATGTGTGTATTGCCTGCATGTAAGTAAGTGGACCCCTGTCATGCAATGCCCGCGGAGGTCAGAAGAGGCCGTTGGATCTCCTGGGACTGGAGTTACAGACAGCTGCCGTATGGGTGCTGGGATTCGAACCCAGGTCTTCTGCAGGAACAACCAGTGTTCTTAACCACTGAGCCATCTCTCCAGCCTCAGGAAGATCTTTTTTTGCCTATAAGTTTTATGCTGGCATTTTTATTGTTTGTTAATCTCTAACTTTTGTATGAGACAGGAGCTCTGCCTTTTTTTTCCCCCCAAATAGCAGTATTCCTTTTTCCATGTATCTCATATATAAAGTTCTAAATACACTAACATCTACTTATGGGTTTTATCCTATTCCAATAATCTGTTTGAGTTTTTATATTAATTTTCAGTAATTACCAACAGTGCTCGCTTCTCTCTTTCAGTTTTCTTCCTTTAGAACTTTAAACTCATTCTATCCACTGTTAGAAGTATGAGTCCAATTTAAATGAAAAAATTTTTAAAGAATTATCATTGTTCTCCAATATAGAACATAGTAGGTTTTCCATTTCTATTTGTTTCATGTTATACCCTCCCATAAAATGTTTTATTTCTTAACTCAAGTTCTGAACATTTGTTAAATTTATTCTAAAACAATTCATTACTTCTCTGTATGAGTGACATCTTTTTCCACTCCTACTTATAATTTATACTCATTTGCTTGTATTTCTCATGGCTTATTTACTGTGGGTGCTATATAAACAATTATATCAGCATGTGGCCTGCTAAATTTATTTTCAATTATGCTGTGTACTTTCCCTTCCTCCTTCTAAAGTACATATACATATACCCCAACATACAAATGCCCATGCTCTTAAATAAAAATCTGTATCCAACATACCTTTTTCTTTTGAAGGGTGACTTTGGCATATCAGCCACAGGAATCATTTGTTCTCCTGGACGTACCCACATAATGGGGCCATCATCACTATCTTTTCGACTCTCTAATTTTAGACTAGATAGTGTTCCCCATGGCAGTGTACACTAGAAACAAATAATTACACAGAAATTAATTATTTTCAAAATATATCTGCAACTATGCACTAAAAATACTGTTCCCCTCACAAGCACACATTCAAATGCAACTTAAACACCTGGAATGTAGACTAAAATGAATATATCCCTATGTATCCATACATTTAGCTTCAAAAGGTTCTATTTCAAATATACCAAAAGAATAATATTCCAAACTTGCTAGAGGTATGATCCAATGTAATCATCATTTGTTATTCTTCCTTCACCTATGGGTGTATTTCCTTCTATTATGGGTAATACAATTTTAAGAAATTTGCAAAATAAGCAAGTGTTCTCCACAACAATCTATGAAGCCAAGCTTGAGTTTTAAAAATATAGATGCTTCCTTAATTAGTGATAATCAAATACTAACAAAACAAAAAAAGAAAAGAAAACCTAAATCAAAATTTCTACTTAGTAGTTTCTTGAAGAGGTTGTTGGCCTTATAGCAGAAACTAAAACTTTTTAAATTTTATTTATTTTTATTTTATGTTATGGGTGTACTGCCTGCATGTATGTGAGTGCACCATGTCATGCAATGCTGCAGAGGTCAGAAGGACATTGGATTCCCCTGGAACTGGAGTTAAGGACGGTTTATAGCCGCCATGTGGGTGCTGGGAATCAAACCCGGGTCCTCTGCAAGAGCAGTCAGTGCTCTTAACTGCTGAGCCATCTCTCCAGCCCCCAGAGGGAGGATGGGAAAAAGATGGTTAAGGATCACTATCAATGGAATGGTAAGCATAATATTTTTTTAAATCATCCCAGATTCCCTTTTGAAGGACTGTCCAATTTCTCAAGAGAGAATGTTTGTTTAAAATTAAATTTGAAGCAACTATTTAAATACTTTTTAGAATATCATTCAGTAATGACTACAACCAAATTCCTATATATTTAGTTGGAAGAAATAGAAAAGAAACAAAAAGTTTGAAAGGGTAGGACAGGAAAAGAAAAGAAAACAGAAGAGAGTAAAAGTAAAAGACAAGATACATAAACATCTAAGATAGAAAATCAGGTGCGCAGATGTGGAAACAGAAGAGAGGTACAATAGAGTAAGTGGTGAGTTTTAGAAATGAAATTAGAAATCACATTGTGCTGTATACCTAGGCCCTTAATTTCAGGACAGATTCACACTTTTGAATTACTGATTATTAAATAATTAACTACCTAGCTCAGACATTTCTCTCTCAGTGGGATCTCCAGACACTCCCTAATAAGAATGCAGCAGCTGCTTTAAAAATAACGGGAGAAGGGTTGGAGAGATAGCACAGAGAATAAGAACACTGACTGTTCTTGCAAAAGACCTGGGTTCAAATCCCAGCACCCACATGGCAGCTAACAACTGTCTGTAATTCCAGTTCCAGGAGATCCGACAGTCTCTTCTGTCCTCTGCTGGCACTGCACAACACAGGTGCACTTACCTACATGCAGGCAATACACGCATACACATAAAATAAAAAATAATAAATAAAATATTTTTAAAAATAAATAAATAAATGGGTGAGCCAATAAGATAGATGGCTCAGCAGGTAAAAGCTCTTGGGACACAAGCCTGGCAACATGAATTTGAGTCCCACAATCACAAATATGGAAAGAGAGAACTGA